TTCACGGGAGGAACACCTGTGGATATGATAAGCATCTATATTATGTCTCCTACACATGGAGCCAAATAGCTCTGCAGAGGTAATTTTGCAGCCTTAAAGTCTTGGGAATAACTTTAAGAGAATTTGTAACTATTTGTCCTTGCTTTAGGTATTTTTCTCCTCGGAGTTTTCAAGATAATGCTCAGAAACTGACAATCACATTTACATCACCTTACAGAAACTATAATTTCTGTCACGATTTTGCTTATTACTTCCAAATATGCCAAATTCCCTGCATGCTACTTGTCTCTAAACTGGCAATGTGTAAGATTGTAATCTATTTCAATGCACTTTTTGGTATTTGAACCCAGGAACATGACAACTAAAAACCCTTGAAAACTGGTATGAAGGCTGAAGCCTACATGTCCATTTGTTTCTTCACACAGTTTGCTATGTCCTAAGACTTTAGATTTTCCAGCTTCAACATCTTTTGTGTTGGACTCCATAAAATAAGCTAAGCAAATATATTTTATTTCAGCATTTTTTCTGGAATGGAATACATGTGAAAATTTCTCATCTCCTAAAAAAAAGGCACTGTAGATGGCATTTTTCTGTATGTAAGAAACATCTCTATACCTACAGTTCACTTACAATAATAAAATGGATGGATAGGTTCTCAATGACCATTCATAATATGGTATTCACACAGATATGCATAGACATCCTGGAAAACAGAGATAAGACTTATTTCTGAGAATTTTTTTTTTTTTTTTTAATTTGAAGACTCTTACGTGCTCTTACTAGGATTCATGAGAGTATTTATTTTTCAATATACATGGTCTCTATCTTACCTGTCAAGCTCTCCTTACTGTCTGAAATAAAACCAGTGCACTCCTAGTGGCTGGACTGTGGTTAGGTCTGCAAACCATGACAAAACCTAATAATACCTGTTAAAATGTCTCTGCACATTTCTGTGGGATGAATCAGAATTGATGTGTGCAGGTAGCATTTTTTTATGCAGTGTCACCCCTTCTGCCTAGACTGAATCCTGGTCCCTTCTGTCAGGAGAGTCCTGCTTTTCAGCACTTCTCTTCTACAGGTCCATTTGCAACTTTGTGGAAAGTTATGGGGTTTTTTCCTCAAGATTATTCCAGTTGAGTGTTGGGTCATGCAAATTCCTTGGAAGGATATCCCAGCTTCTCTCTGAATAGTGAACATCCCAGCTCACTTTCCCCTGAAATTTGTTGGGATACATCTTTGAGTGTAACTGAATATTCATCAGCCTCTGAAGGATCATTAAGCTAAACTATTTTGTCTATTTTAAGGTATTAGAAAGCAAAACACTGGGATTTTTAAGCCATGAAACAAGTCAATTCCAAAGTATATAACCAGCTCAAGAGTTTTGAACTGCAAACATCACATGCAAAAGAAAGGACTATGCTGCCTTTCTGTCAGTGGTGTCATTTTAATACAACTCTTCCTTGTCACAAGATCTTCCATGAAAACAGCCGTTTACTCAAATAGCATTATCTGAGGGAGGATGAAGTTTAAGAGCTGTGATGGAGTGAAGTAAAGAATTAAAAAAGTTGTATTATCAAAACGAGTTTTGTGTGACTCATTCAGTTATTTCATGCCAGTATAAGTCCATACTTTCACCATGTTTTCATTGATTTTCATCACATAAAAATAATGCTTAATGTTGAGTTTAATGTGTTTTGTATAAGGACAGAAAGATATTTAAAAGTATAATGGTAATCCACCTGCCTATAGCACAAATTCTGATACCTGGATTAATTTTATTGCCTTTCTTCATGGTACTGTGGAGCAGGAACAGGAATTTGGAAACACTGCAGTCTTCCAAGCAAGAAATAGAATAGATGAAACAGATGACTGGCATATCCTAGATGGGAGGTTTTACTTTCTGATTAACACAATTTAATTAACTTTTGGGTTACTTGTGTAGCAGTGGCTGTTCAGTATGGTGAGGGGAGATGTTGCACTTAAAATTGTTATACCAGAGTATAATAGGGAGTTGGAAAGAAAAATGTTTGGAAATCAAGAAGGGAGAGAGTTACTATTCCTCTTGCAGCCTTACCATGTTGGCATTGCTGCACACTCACTTGTGGGTGGTGGCATGTGTTTATAGGCAGTGCTCTGCACAGGACCTTCCTCCTTCAGATCATGGGATGAACCTGCTTGCAGAGTGAACCAAGGCTGCGCAAGTTGCTAAACCATCTCCTGTGCCTGTTGTAGGCACTGGAAAGTACTCAACAGATGAGTCAGAAAGGATGAGCTCATGGCTCAAGCAGATTAATGCTGCAGAGGATACAGTTTTCCTGTCACTACCTCAGCCTCAGATGACTGTCAAGTGCTACAAGTCACCTACTGTAACAATTTGCACCAATAAGCTAAATTTGATGAGATCCAGGGTTGGATTTGTCCCAGCACTGGGTGTTTGCACACACAGCAATGACTGCTCTCAAAAACCCAGGCTAGTCCTTGTGACCCAGCTGCTCCTTCCCACTGGAACAGTTAAGAGCAGGCAACAGTGAGCAGAGGTCCCCCTGTATTCAGGATTGCCCTCCCACATGTTTCATCAAGCTAATACTGTGAACACAAAACCCATAGAGCTTAATGGTTTAGAGCTCTCTAATGCCACAGAAATATTAATTTCCACTTTGGAGGCACTGGTGTGTGCAGTATGGAAGAGCTGCCATAGTTTCTCACCATTTTGCTTTGCCCCAAAACACTCCAAAATCTAATCTAGCCTGGAACTAGCAGTAGAATGAAAACCATTCTGAAGATGGTTTTGCAGTATCAGTAGCCTCTGTGCTGCTAAAAAAATATGCGTTCAGATAGTATTATTTTTGTAAACCAAGCACCATCATATGGGAAGCCTTGACATTGTGACAGACCATGAAATTGCAATATTGTGTTGCCTGTGGATGCTTTAACATAGCCTTCATTTAAATGGTACTTTGGGTGGAAATGGAAAACTGTGCAACAACAGATTGCAGACAGATTTTCAGTCTAGAAAATCTTCAGTGCTCACCTGGCAAACTCATGTCAGACAGAAACTTTTATTCCATGATCCCCTGATCCATACAAAGCTCCATGCCAATCTCCACTGTCTTCAGTGGATGAGGTATGTTTGTATAAACTGTAAGTCAAACTGGCATCTGTATAAAAATAAACTGCATTTGAAGCTTTTTGGCCAGCTTTAACTTGAATACCAAAGAAAGATTATGCCTCTATTTCTAGTACTGCTCTCTCCTAAGTCTTTTTGAGACTGCACATTCTCCAGCTATCCTGAATGCAACCCTTCACATTTCCAAGACTAACAGATCTTTTAAGACAATGGGAGGCAATGATTTTATTTTAAAGACAAGCAAAGAGAGGAAGATATGAAAGCTGTCTAAAAACTTGGTTTTGCAAGTGGAGTCCACAGTTCCTTACTTATCTCTTTGGACCTAACAATCTAATGTGAGCATTTTCATTCTGCTTTATTTCAGAAAACAATGTTCATTTAAACAAAAAAAAAGAACTGTAAAGACATAAATATTCAGTCTAAGATTATGATACTGACAATTTTATTTTTGTAATAATCACAATAGATTTACGGAACATTTTTGTTGTAGCATAATAGTCCTCTGTTTCAAATCACTGAACTGTTTCAGGCAAGACTCACTTAACTAGTTTACTGCTGATGAAACTAACTTAACTGTCCAAAGGCTAAGCTGCTGAAGAATGGTCTAGCAAAGGGATAGAGCTCTAAAACCCACACACATTGCAGCCTACCACTTGTGAAATACTTATCAGTAATATTAATTCATGGGAAGTGCAGAAATCTGCTTTCACTTCAGTCTGTTCACAAAAGCTAGAAATCATATTATAATTTTAAAGTCAGTTTCAAATGCAAACACTTTAATTCAATAAACACTTTAAAAGGAAAAAGTTGTTTCTCCTATAGCTACATGATTCTTGAAGAATATTTTATGTATAGTATTAACAGAAATCTTTACACACATTTGGCTAACTGTCAATATTTTTTTTTTTTGAATATGTGAATTCACCAGGCAATCAGTTCTTTTCTGCTGCTAACAATTAGTGTTCCTAAAAAACAAAAAAACAAACAAAAAAAACCCCACCTTATATAATACCTTAATTATATAAGGTGGGGTTTTTTTTGTTTGTTTTTTTTTTTTTTTTATTTCAAGTTCATACAGTACCTTGGTTGTCCATTCACTGTATATTTGATAACCTTAAGAGAAAAGATCTGCAGTATAACCAAAGTTCTCACTGTAGCAAGTTGTACTTCTCTGAATGTTGAGGTATCACCAGCCTGTCTGGACTACCCCACATTTGTGGAGGGTGAACTCCCATGTTACCTACATTGCAAGAGAAAGTAACATAATGTTTGGGCCCTACTGCAGCAAATTTATGCCCAAGACTGGACACTGCAACTCTAATTATCACTAAAGGAGAGAGAATTTTCCAGATGCATCTGTTCCATTACAAGCACACCTGGGATTTGATTGTACCAAATACAGAGTGCCCATAGCTAACAGTTTGTAGCTGTTTAGGACTGGCAAGCAAAGGATCATAGTCACTGCAAAGAGAGTATTCACGTGGATGGCTACTGCAGTGAAGTCATGGCAAGCTCTGAAAGGAGTGTGAGAAAAGTTATTTTGACTTATGTGGAGGTGCTAGCCAAATAAACCCCAGAACACCCCAGAAAACATGCAACCAGCAAGAAGGCAACAACCAACATAACACTGCATATTTGCACTGTGAAATATCACTGCAACTCACTGCAATAGAGATGCCAGCCAAAGCAGAACAGCACTCACTGCATTTTCGGCTCAGGCAACAACTGCAGCTTAACATTTACCAGAGAAACCCTAGGCCTGAGGCAAAGCTAAAGCACTGAGGTGTCATTTTGCCATGCACTGATAGGGAAGCTAGGCTTGCAGGAGGTTTTGGTCAAGTCTGTGCTGAGTAGTGAGGTCAGTCATTAGGTTTTTAATTGCTTCCTCACCTGCAGTTCAGGGTCCTGAAGCACAAGATATAAAGTAAGATTTCACAGGGTTTCCTAGCAGGCAGAATTCGCTCTGCTGGTTAGGTTTCTCTACAGGACATCACAGTTATTTTGAACTGGTTTGTGTTGGTTTGAGCTCTTCTGCAAAACTTCAAGATTCTTCAAGACTCAGGTTTCAGGTGGGCTTAGATTAATACATTTTGCTCTCTCACAGGTGTATATAGCTGCTTATGCTAGAGGCAAGAGTAGGACAAAGGTGGCTGAAGATGTGAAATATAGCGGGCAATGACTGCATCTGGTGGAGATTAGAGCCTATTTGTGCAGAAACACTATCTGAACACTATCCCAGCATTTATTTGTGCACTGTGAGTGTTAATACAACTCAGAGCCATCTTCACAAGCTGCATGAAAGTCTTTGTAGAAACTCTCAGGAAGCTTCTTATTCTCTCAAAGCAATTCCCATTGGTTTCTATAGAAGATCCAAAGTGATATCATGGGAGGTCATAGGCCCATTAAAATTTACAAATGATAACTGTAGCTTCCCAATAGTGAAACACTTTTACAGAGATGCCCAGTAGATTTAGACAAAATTCAGTGTATTCAAGCCTAATCAGAAATCACAGTGAGTGAGAATAGTCACCATTTTAAAAACAATTGCAGCTTTCATGAGTTAGGTGCAATTTCAGGGCAATCATGTCAATTCTGCAGATAATCATTCTGCAAGATTTGAATATAAATTGTATGATAACAGAGAGAAAAAGCAATTCTTTTTGAGTTCACATGGTCGCAAGTGAAAGACAGAAGAAACATTAGGGAGTCACTTTTAACAGAAGTACAGATAGCAGATGTTTAATTAGCCTCAGACCATACATATCTGACTGAAAATGTGTCAAACATAGGTAACACTTCCACAAGAGACTAGGCTGATAATCTGTACTTTCAGAAAATATGTAGATAAATCATCCTGGCCACAAATAATCACAAACTGACTGCTGCAGGCCTACATAGAGGATAACTTTGGGCATGAAATAAATTATACATTCAGTAAGGCTGTAGTTTGTGTATGATAGACTTTGCCCATCAGAGTTGTGCAATTTACATTTAATGAAAACAACCTACAGTAAGTTTCTGGGTTGCTTGGATTTATTTCCCATCCATCTGACTAAGATGAAGACATGTCATTTTTAGGATCTCTACTAGTATATTTGGGGAGCAATTTTGTAGAGCTATATTAACAGGTATAGGTTTTAAAGTTGCTTGACTTCTTGTGCCAAGAAGAGAGAAAAGACAGTGATGGGTTGATCATTGGAAAGATGGTGGGGCCAGGGAGAGTTAAATGTATATAAGCAATCCCATTTCCATACAAATGAGACACCAGTTAGGGAACACACTTGCATTTCTTCTTTATCCAGTTGTTACAGACTCTACCAGCATGTCTCTGGAGATTTCTCCTCAGCTATCAGCCTGCAGGAGAATAAACAAACCCAGATTTTTGACTGTATGTCATTTGTTTGAGTACACAGCTCCAAAAGAGACTGTCAACAAATGCTCTTTATGACTCAAACAGATTTCTGAAAAGGCTACTTGATGAAACTTACAAATTTTCGTGTGCCTGGCCATACTAAGGTTTCTCCTGGCCTCCAATGCTTCTCATGAATCCCTGAAATGCAGTTTTGAAGGTATAGGGAAACACTTCAGCCAGAAGAATGACAGCTTTGCTTAGTCCAGAAATAAATCTGATTTATGGTGGAACAAGACAAAGAATTAAAGGACGGTCTTTGGATACTCTGCTTTAAGGTGGAGACAAATTATTTTTATACTTGGATGCTCCTGTTTACATTATACCTGATGTTATTAGTTTAACAAGTTAATATTTATTTGAACAATCATGAGATAAGAAGAGAATTTCAGAATTGCTTCACATCTATATTAGTATATTACAGGCTAAGTTGCAAAAGTTCTCTGACTTCCAGTTTGTCAGGAAATAGAGATGTGATAGCTTATCACACCACCAAAAATTTCATTTCATTTTTTTTTCACTTTTCTCCCTAAGTATTCAAATCCTTTCTCATTCACACACCTGTGATCAAGTTACCGCTTAACTTTTAACTGCAATAAGCAAATAGATTAAATTTTGTATCATTTTCCTGCCGTTTAATTTTTTTTCTTGAACTCTAGAGCAAAGCACAGTACAAAAGAGTATTAGCCCTAGAGCAGGCTGTTTTATTCCTGCAGTGGTGGTATTGTTAACCTGTACAGAAAGAGTATATCCTTTCTGCTCATGTGGTGTTTCTCTGCTTATACATCCTTTGGTTGAGAACCAGGTAGTTTCTTTACAGTCACAAACTGGTATTTGAAGGGTGCTATAATGCACATCAGAGCAGTGTACTGTGTGATTCCACTTCCCTCAGGAGACAAAGTACAAATTCATTAATTATTCAATCAGATTTCAATCCCTCTCTTTGTCTTTATTATATATTTATCATGGACTGTTGTTCTTGTTTTTAACAATTAAATATTATTTACAGTATATGAAACAGGTCCATAACAGTACCAGTCAGTTTAATATCTTGATTAAATACTCTGTTCATGCTTCTATTATGCAAATGTCTTTAGATTCTAAATAAGTAAAATATAGTAAAATTAGAAAGTAAAAAATAAAAACAACATATATATTTATATATATATGTAATATATGTGTGTTAATAGGTATATCAGTAAGTTAAATAAGTACTTGTAGGTATAACAATTCTCAAACACTTTAACATTTTATAGTTTATTTAAACACAATATTTAAATATCAAAAGAATTATTTTTTAAATACTTATTAATACGGGGGGTTTTGTGACATAATCCTCCCTCACTCAGTTTCCTGTAACACATTTGCCTTTTGAGTGTTGCCCCTCAGCTCTTCTTGTTTTTTTCCCAGAACCACATTCTTCTTGTCCACGAAACTATAGTGTGATCATACTTTGCTCATAGGCACCTGTAGAAATTAATTTTTAAAGTAGAAATGTGTTTTAGTGATAATTCTGTCTAGCAGACACAGAATAATCCTGAGCCAGTGGCAACACCTTGTTCGGAAAAGTAATATTTAGAGATTTGACAGGTGTTTTGCCATAAGCAGGGACAGCCCTATGGTATGTGACCTGAAATTCCCTGTGAGAATGCAGATCCTTTCTGCACATAAAGGAACTGCTTGTCTCTGTCCTTCCCGTGATTTGGGCACAGCCACCCTGCAGGAAGTCCCATCACTGAACCAGGGGCACTCCATCCCTCCCCCTTCTGTTTGTCAGTAATTACAGCAGATAACATCACACCTGTGCAAAGTGCTGATCTCTTCTGCCATTCACCAGCTGGTGGTTCAGTCAAGGCCCCCCTTTTTCCTTTTAATTTTGAGAGTGTCAATTAAAGAGAGAAAAAAAAAAAAGAAATCCCAACACATGAATAGATCCCGATTTACGGCAAACTGAAAATGATACCCCAGTGTGTTATGACTTTTTTTTTTTTTTTGTATCAGTGGAAAAGGGGTTTATGAAAGAGTTTCCCCATATTACACAGATCAAATTTTTTGTTGGAGTTTGTTATTCCAAATCTTCATTAGACACTCAATAGATAATTTAGACTTCTGAAAGACCACAAGTGGTCTGCAGCTTCTGAACCCAAGGCTGCTCTCTCACTTCAAGCACTTGAAAATATATTTTTGTGATATGTATACATAAAAAATGAAATTTGCAATGGAAAGTGAAATCCCAGAAGGTCTACGTCTCAAGAGCTAATGGGATTTATAAATCCCATTTTCACATGCCACTTTTATACACCAAAAACACATGAACCCATTTTCTGACTATTTCCAGACTTTTACATCAGCTGCATGTTTTGATCTCCTTTTTTTCCCCAGTAGAACTTCTTTATGCTTATTAGGTAGATGCAAATCATCTATGAATATTAAGTAACGCAGAAATATAGAGATAATACATGACTTCCACTGATCTCCAAGTTACTACCATATCCCATAGACTTCGAGCCATGCTCTTGTAGGAAAAGAAAATTAAGGTGGCTGCTCAGTCTGCCTATGAGAAACAGGTGTGGGAACTGGGGCTTGTGTGTGAGCCTGAGAAGAAGAGTGTCTTAGCTGCTACTAAAGGATGGAAATACCTGCTGGCAGGTCAAACAGAATGCAAAATCCGTGCTAAAATTGAAAAAGAGCATTGAGGTACATGACCCAAGCATGGGAAGAACAGAGTGCTTCTGAAAGTAAAACCAGGACAGTACTGGCCTGGGCAGTCAGTGAGCAGTCCAGCAATATTTTGACAGGAATCATCCTTCTAATATTCAAACTGAAAAGTAACTTATGTGTCCGGTAAAGATCAATAAGATAAGAGTATCTGAAAACTTCAGCCTATCAATTACTTGAAGATAAAAACCCATTTATATAAGAAAATGTGTACAACACTTGGGCTAAGTGAAGGTGATACATACCTTCCCTCCAAAGTGATGAGGCTAGCATAACTATTTTTTTCATAAGCAAGTAAAACCATCTACCTGGAAAGCAAGTAAAACCATCTACCTGGAAAGCAAGTTTGGGCATCATGTATGCTCAACTAATTGAGAGAAGTCAAGATGTGAAGGCCCTGGTCCCAGACTGGTACTGAGGACCTGCTGGAGGATGAAAGCACTTGGGTAAGATGCAGAACCAAACCTCTACCCTCTGCAAGTGTCACCTCTTGAGGACAAGGGCAGGGAACAGCAAAGTGTTCAAAGAGATCAGGTAAGACTTGGCTGGTACCTGCTAACACTGGTGCAATGGAAAGCTGGAAGAAGACATGAGACTGGTGACAGCACCCTCCCTCAAGAGTGTGCCCATGCTCAGTTAATGTGCTTCCTTGATCTTTCTGCAAAGGAGGAAAAAGAAGTATTTGTATCCAGAGAAGAGGCACCCATTTTTTTTAGTCAGGCAGGCCAATACAATAAGAATGAAGCTGGCCACTGCTATGTGATATCTCACATAGCCCTTCTAGTGTTCAAAAATGCCTCAGGAGAGCTTCATCAATGATTTTTGGTCCAATTAAGTCACTTGAATGCACTGAAAAAAATGGGATTAAGAACATTTTTTAAATCAGAAATGGTTTCTTTGAATTGTATATATTTTCTAATTCCCTTGATTAATTTTAAAAGATCAAATTTATAATTGTACTAATCTGTTGTTAATATTTAATAAAGAAAGGGGTGATTAAAAGTTTTCCCTCTCAACAGAATTATTTTCATACCAAACTGTCTTGTCAAGAACCCACAAAGCTGAACTTTTCCTTTCAGATTAAAGTACTTCAAAGTACTTCTTTCTTTTCCTTTTCTGCTCAGTCACCAAACCAGGAGGAAGAACCCCATTCCATTAGCAATCCCACCTAGAGGGTAGGCAGCAGAGAATAATCTGTTGTATGAAAGACTGCCTTGTGTGATGCTGACTGTACAGAGGAGACAAGGGATGAACAAACCAGACCCACATGGAACTTCTCCATGCCTCTTCCCCCAGCCCTTCTGCTGACTCAGTCCTGTCACTCAAATCATATAATTTCCCACACTGAAAGCAGTTTCCAGAATGCTGTTTAGCTGTTGCTTCAGCTGTATCACTTTTACATACAAACTTTCTTCTACTTGCCGTCTCAAATGTGCTACATACTGCAGGGCATTGGCAGTGCAGGCATTATCCAGTTCTAGGGGGAGTGCTATAAATTTAAGTCTGACTATCTCCATCAGCCGTTTACCTTGGTAGAGAATTTCCACTGAACACACCTGCGACAAATCTCTTTTCTCCTTCCCTTTTCTTGGATTATGAGTCAAATAAAACACAGCCTATGACATTAATGGTCTTGTAATATTGGTTGAACTACCTGGATGCTAGGAAACATTACAGCTGAGGTCATTTTTCCAAACAGTGTATTGAATTACGGGTTTCCATTTGCTTTTTGTTTTGCTTTTTCCTGTGGGACCCATTTGTACACTGAACAAAGTAGGAGCTTGCTTGGTACAGTGTTTTATCTCACCTTCATTGTCTTGTCTGACCACACCATTTCTGTTCTGTTTTTTTTTTCTTTTTATGAAAAGAAAACTGTTGCTTCTTTTGTGTTTTTCTGCACACACTAATGTCTGAGTACATAAAAATAGGTGTACATTTACTGCCACAGAAATCTGGTGTTGAGGGACTTTTGCTTTCTCTTCCATTCTAGGTGGAGGATAAAGAGAAACTGAAATGTGAGAGCATCCATTCATGGCATGGTCAGCATCAGACAGGTGAGATTTCTCCTTATAGAGCACTCACATTATACAAACTTGTAACACATGATAATGCCAGACTTCTATCACAGCAGATGTGCTGTAGGCATGGTGACACTCGGACTAGTTCAGGTATTGTAGGTGAACAAGCAGTGAGAGCCCCAAAGGACTGCAGTATTTGTATTGTGCAAGGGAGCACCAGCCCTCTCATAGTCCAGTGCCACCTCACCTAGGCACCACCTCTAGGTTTGAAGCCCAGTTCCTAGCTATTTAGTAGTGGTGTGTTTGAGTGTTGAGTGCCTTTGTAAGTCTTACATCAGAAAATAAGGGGAATAAATTACAGGATGTGTCCACACAGCAAAATGAGGTGTTTCGGCTTCTGCAAGAACAGTTGAGTGCAGCTCATGCTGTGGGAGAAGGAGATTCAAGCAGGCTGTGTCACACAGGGAAGGACCCAGGTGGTGGTGGATGTTCACTACTCATGGTCCATTTACTCAGGCAAGACTTTTTATTTATGGTTCTGTTTGTGGCTTGCAGAAGCAAATACACCACAATTACTAGGTGGTTATACACTGTAATTCTAAAATGAGGCCACTCTTTGTCTCTTCCCAAGAGCTGTCACAGTGACTAGGCAGCGATTCAGGTGGGAGCTCAGTGCCTAAAGGCAGTTTCTTGCCTAATGTCAGCATTTAATTGCCAGACAGCTCCCTCTCATAGAGGCCTAGAACATAGGTTTTTCAAGGTTTGACTCTCAAAACTGCATCTTCCTATGAAGAAAACCAAAAAGGCTCATGCACTTTTCTTCCAGAAGCTGTCACTGGCAAAAGTGAATTGTAGAGAATTAAAGTCTTTCTGTCCACGTGATCTACAGAAGCTCAAATTGCCCCTTCTCTCTGTGTCTTACTTCCTTGTGACCCCTTCTGGCATAGTCCCTATTTCTAGTCTTTCTTCCCTTGGTGTCCCATCCTGTGTCATTCTTCTCCTCTCCTGCTCCCCTCAGCTTGTAAGCTCAGCTTTCAAAGACTCCTGCTCCACCATCTGCTCCCATAGGACCTCACCCAGCTCTGCCAAATCTTTGTGCAACGCTTGTTTCCAAACACATTAGAAAATAAATCAGCATTCCAGGTTGCTACAGACATTGGCAGAAAATCCAGAGAATGGTTTCTCTTTTTCTGTCTTCAAGACTGAAAATCGAAGCAATGGATTCTTCTGCCCAAGAGCCCTGGCCATGTCTCTGTCATATGATGTACAACTGGTCCCACGGCAAACACAGGGCACAGAGAGCAAGTGAGACCATAGAGAAATAAAAAGCAAATTGCCCAGCTGCTGAGTTGATGAAAACTTAGACCTGACAGTGTCTGAAAAAGCATTACTTCTTCCAGTGAACACCAGATACTTATTATGAAGTCTGGTCTAGGTTAGAAGGCAGTATTTTTTAACTAAAAAAATTTGAAAATGTGTGAGACCTTGAATCTGGGTGTACTGTTAATGCCAGGTGAACAGCTTGGGAGACACTGGCATTCTACACACAGAGTTCACAGGATTCAGTATTTTGCCTTTTTTTCCTTTCACTCAACCTTAGTGTTTTGGAAGAACAGAGAGTTGAAACCACCATTTTTTGAAAGCAACAAACTTAAATACAGCCATAAAGTGTTTATGCTCCACAGTCTTTAGAAGGAAGTATCAGCTGTTAGGGTTTGTGCACTGGTGACCAGCCCTTAGGCTGAACTAACAGGAGAAAAGTCGAAAAGCACCAAACATTGCACAGGGGAGGAGAAAGCAGCTGGCCAGCCACACCTGGGACTCAGTAGTCCAACAAGAACTGGAAAAAGCCACCAGGCATTTCAGTAAGTGAAATGGGAGCATTGGAAACTACCTTTGAGTAAAGCCCCAAGAGATAGGGAGGTGCTGATTTATTGGCTGCCACTGAGGTCAAATCAACAAAACTGAGTCCTGTAGGTGAAAATTAAATAGAGGCAGGTTGGTTATTTGGGAAAGGGAAGGTGTTAAAAGGGATTGCTAGGTGAAACAGCTCATGTGATTTGGGTTCTGTGGATTACTTGTCAAACATCCATGCAGTTACATCCCAACACAGCCTAAACCAGGACAATAAACCTGCTGTTGCAACCATGCTCTGTGCAAATGTCTTCCTTCCCTTCTCAGAGGGGACAAGAGGGTGAGCTCAAATGTCAGGCTGGATGGGTTTGGAGGATGGACCAAACACCACCTTAACATCAAGGGTCCTAAGCAATCTTCCTAACATGAGCCCAGCTTTGCTATTTGCTTTAACGAAGATTTAGCACAAGGAAAAGCATTTAGAAGTACCTCTGTTGAGGCAGAACACTGGTCTAAGCCTGTTCACAGTCTCTGCCACACTGTCCTCTGTAGCAGCCCTTGGCTCAGCATGGCCATGAGAATGATGTTTGTGTTCCAGCCACACCTTAGTGTTCTGCCTTTACCCTGTCCCACTTGTTTTCCTTCATTAATACACTGCTTATGGAAGGTTGAGGGACTTGGCAAAGCTGGGCAGTTTCTGGAGCTGCCTGAGTAAAGAAGGACATGGGACTTTGTGTCAGCCTGTCTTGTATGCGTGCCCTTGCCCTCTTCCTCCTTTATTCCCTGTCAAGTATTTTCCCTGGTTAGCAGAGCAGAAACAAAACTTCAGCAATACAGAAAAATCCTGGGGGTGCAGTCTCTCTTGAACCCGTGCATGACTTTGCTAATTATCCCATGAAGAAAGTTAGGGAGAGAAAAAAGTCATTTAGTGAAAAAAATCCTGTCAAAATAGATGTGTCTGTAGCTGATAGCCAGCTAAGGACAGACACAGAATCGAGACCTCTGGCAGGCTGCAGCAGTGGGCTTTTTCCCAATCTAGTCACAGGAAGGGGAGTTTGACAAATCAAACACACAAAAGCTGTAATTCTGCACGTCTCAGGCAATTCCATCAGTGAAGTTTGGCACAACAATTAGAAAAAAAACCAAACAAAACAATACAAAACTAAAACCCCCTGACTCCTCTGCCATGTTGCCTGGTGTGGGATGCCACCTGGGACATCCTAGCCTTGTGGGCAGAGAAGAGCCCTAACAACATCACAGCTGCCTACAAGCCACAGCTCCCTCAGCTGTGGTCGTGTGAGATGCAGGCAGAGCATGAACCTCCCTTAAAGAAAACAAACCAAGGAGAAGGGCTACAGGCACGTGGAGACCTGTAATTGCAACTACAGGTGCCAAACACTGCTTCCATGTGCCTTCAAAAAAGCTCAAACCCCTGTTCTATGTGGGCTTTTTTCATTGTGCCCTGTGTTAGTCCTCCAGGAGCAGCACCAGAGCCCGGGCCTAGTGCTTTGCCTTGAGAGGACACCCTCAGTCAGAATGCAGTGACAAGCACCTTGGGCCAAGAGATAAGCAATTTATGCAGGAAAGAAGAGGGCTCCTGTCCTCAGCTCATGCTTACTGGGGTGCTCAGGTGCTGTGTCCCCTCCACAGCTATAGTCCTGCCTCCTGCCTGGCTGTGGGGTCGAGCAGAGCCTCTGAACATGTCCCTATGCTCCACAAGCCACAGGGTGAGGTTTTCATACCAGCTCAGACTCTAACTGGCTGTCCAGCTCCTTTGTACACTGCTGTGCCTCAGCCCTAGGTGATCATTTTCTTCTCACAGGCTCAGCACAACTATTGTGCTCATGTCCCACTTCTACAGGTTAGCACCAAGCAGGAAATGCACTTGAGTTGTTTCATGTGGGAAAGACATTTTCTGTGTGAAATTTCACTCAACCTAAACACAGCCAAGTACTGGCATTAGGAGGAGATTGGACAGAGGTCATATCATTACAGGTGTGCTTTAGGGCACCAATATATACTTCCACCTTCCCATGGGGGGATGTCCCATACAAGAATCTCTCTCAGATAAGCATAGTAGAGACATATCAGACTTCCAGTCTCTCACAGCCTACATTTTTGCTAAAGGTTGCTTCATTTTTTGGAACTTCATGAGCATTTAACCCTAATGCCTGACACCCCATGGCAGTCAGCTCTTTGGTATTCATTTGACATCACAATGGGGAGATTTCTTCTCCTGGGAAGTGTCTGGAGCAGCTGGATTTGTAAAGGTACCAGAGACTCACCATGGAGGCGCTTTTGCATCGCAATAGGTTTTAAATAGGGTTTTTTATAATAAGTTTTTTTGGTTGGTTGTTTTTTTTTGGGGGGGAGGGGTTGTTTGTTTGTTTGGGTTTTTTGGGTTTTGTTTTGGGTTTGGTTTTTTTTTGGTGAATTGGGCAGGGACAGAAGAAAGAAGAGACCAAGGAATCCTCAAAAGGGGATGGTTCAGCAGGAGATGGTGAGAGGAGAAGGGTGACAGGGGTGAAGGGAAGACTGGGAGAAGAAAGGAATGGGCAGTCAAGGGAAAAGCAAGGAGGACTTAAGACAGTTACAGACATTGATGAAGGATCATTTATGACATTGATATGAGTGACAGCTGGGATTTTATGAAGCATTTGAAAGAGAGACATGCTTTTTATGCATTTTAAGTCTTTTCCACTGCTGTGTGATAAGGGAAATGCAGCTGCAGTAAGGCATATGGCTCAGATAAGAGGAAGCTAATAAACATATGAATGAGGTTTAAACACAGCTAGATCAAAGGAATATATTTGGCTATTCTCATAACAAGGGCTTTATCCTTGCCTTGCTTTTTCCCTCAGATGGGAAGCTCATCCTTTAGTCCCAGGGCAGTTTAGCCTTTTTCTCTAAGTCTCCAAACAGCACTTGTGAGAATCTAAAAAGAAAATTGATCTTCTGCCTTACACTTGCTTCCAGCACAGCTCTCTGGTTCCTTTCTAGCTTCAGCTACTCACTCCCCAGCATCACCCTCAGTCCTTCACAGTTGCACCTACCCCAGGCACCAGTTGCAACCCCTCACCAGCCCTGGCACCCCTGGATCAGGCCAGGATGCTCCACAGCTCTGACTCTGAACTGGAGAAAGATACAAGTGAACAAGAGATGCACATTGGGGGTCTTACCTT